ATCTCTTTTTATTGGGTTTAGTATAGTGGGATTTCAAACTCATTGACTTCATTTTTTGAGTTTTTTATTACCTCAAGGCGTACGCCAATTAATTGGGTAATCTGCCTCTTTCAATTCAAACCTAGGTTGTTGGATCGGACGTCGGGGACCCCTTGGCCGTCCGGGATGTCCGACCGGACAGGGTATGTCCGACCTAACGCAAAAAAAAAAAAAAAAAAAAAAAAAAAAAAACTCAGAAAAATCTGAAACAAATATATGTTATGTAACATAACAATACAAGCAACGCTTGCCTTGGAGTCATGTTCAAATTCGCAGCCAATCATGAGGTAAAAATCAAAAACCGAAAAAACAATTATATATATATATTTTGTTCGAAAAAAACAAATTTTTTTTTCGGACGACGGGGGTACCGGACGTATGGGGAGACGTCCGGGGGAGACTACCGGCCCCCGGACCATTGGTAACCTAGATTCAAACCTAGGTGAGCATATCCACCACCCTGTAAGAGGCACCTTAGCGTACGATCGCGCGCTATCTATTGTCTGGGGGGTTGAGCAATTCCGAAAGATGCTTCGATTTACTCCGAATAGTTGCAACTGAGCATCGTGCAGACAGACTTTGGATGCTAAGATCCAAAGTCAAAAGGGAAACAGCCCAGATCGTGCGCTAAGGTCCTAAAGCAATCACTTAGTGGGAAAGGAAGTAATCGAGCAATTACAACCAGGAGGTAGGCTTGGATGACAATTCCTTTGGTCATGTGTATTTTATTTGAGTTTTTATGTGTTATTATGTAATGATGGATGATTGAAAATAAGTCGAATTCTCAAATTACGAAAACTCAAATATTGAGTAGCGATTTAGCTAAATAAACAAATAAAAATAGGTATTATAATACCATTAAAGAAAGAAGCACCAATGGAAATTTCTCTTTGAGCTAATAGATGAAAAAACACAGGTTTTAGGATGGGAAGGAGTAGGTGTCGCATCATATTTGGTAATTCATTTTTGGTTTACACGACTTCAAGCAAATAAAGCAGCTATTAAAGCAATGCTTGTGAATCGAGTAGGTGATTTTATGTTATTGCATCATCAAAACGAAATTCTGATTTATTTATTTATTTTTTTTCAAAAACAACCCTCACCAGTGCCAGAGGTGCTGGTAAGAGCAGACACCGCTAGCACCGGGGGGGAGGCTCCATCTATTGGTGGGGAGTGTCACCTGCTGGAAAGCGGGTCCAGCGTCCCATATACATAGTGAAAATACAGACTGAAGTAGAGAAACCCCCGCCAACATTGATTGCTCTGGGGTCCAGAGGATTAACTGAGCATGTTGTATCGCGACAGGAACCTCTTCGCCCTATGCCAGGTGTCAGATATGTGCTGCTACCAAGTGGTTCCCTTCTCCGAATGAGGAGCTGATGCTGGCGCCCCTATGTTCATCAGTCCTGCTTACTCCGCCCCATACCTCTGCATGTCCACTACCGCCAACTGATGGGGTGGAAAGGGGTCGAGAAAATCCAATGCTGGCCGTAACGAAACCCCTTGGCCCACCGTTGTCCAGTCTCTGAAACAGATCTGATCGTCTTTAATGATCAACTCCCGGTTGTCGTCGTGGTTGCCTGCTTCGTCTCCCTGAGTTTGGCCGCCATCCCACTTGATGGAAGCGATTCGGCCTCCGTTCGCGCTGCCCAGCCAGCCCCCCGAGAATTGTCGGATTTTTTGATCTATCCTTCTTTGTTTGACATAGATCCAGCTAAATTTTGATCTTCTAACATTGCGTCATAAGTTCTTGGTGTATGAATTGTTTAATCATGTCTGTCATTTCCTCCCCGACTATGCGGACTCCCTCCATAACGTGTATACGTCTCCTCCAGATTGCCCACATTACCGCTCTCCTCCCTATTTTAAACATGTTATCTTCAAAGGTACTAGATGCAGGGGAGGTTCGTGTCTCACACGGGATCACCCTCCAGTCCCATGGCCAGTTTGTTCCGGTGTCCAGCAACCTCCAAATCCTGTTCCACCATCGCTACAAAGGCTAGATTAAAATATTTCATTTTAGGTGCCTTTTCCTTTATGGATTTACAGGAGTGACCAATTTTGAAGAATTAGCCACGCTCGGACTTGGTCAGAGACGACTTCTGGACCGGGGTCCTGAGGGCCTGACGGCAACTCTTGTTGCCTGACCAACCCCCACCAACTAGGTGGGAGGAGGTGATGCGTCAACCCCTTTTTGGGAACAAGAGGATAACAGACCGGTACAACATGGTGTATTGTAGCTCAGAGACCCCGTGGAACGACTGGGTGGAAAAAGGCATAATAAGAATAAAGGACATATGGAACATAGAAGTGGGGTCTGGAAAACGGGGCCACAACTGAGAACCATACTAGCCACAAAGTTGAGGAGAACATTGACTTGTTGATCGCTGCTGTCCCCCTTGACTGGGTGCGCATTCTATGCAAAGGGTCATGACTAATAGAAGGAAACTGGGTAGCTGCCCCAAAGGATTCGAAAAATGTATGCAATGTGGTGTAGGTATGAACAAATGAAATGCTGGTAAACCTCTTCCACATAGACAAGGAAAATAACCTCACCCGATACTTCCTAGAAGTGATGAGATGGTGGAGAAATGCAGACTTGCACATGATATGCGTACTGCGGGATAAAGATATTGTCAATTGGATAGCATATCAGCCAAATACCCCCATGACAGAGCTACCCTTTGACCCTGACGAATGACAGTGGCCCAGTGGGTCCCCGGACGAAAACCCAGGCCGGGGACGAATCTAAACTTGCACACTCTAACGTTGAAGGTCACATATCGTTTGCTACGACCAAAGATGATTATAAAAGAAACAGTGAAAACCCGATGAAGGTCACACTTGAATGTAGGGATTGAGGCAATCTGCCCGATCCGATGGTTCATCGCCACAAGGTCTAGGCCTGCGAAGATGGTCTCTCTTCAGTGGCAGATAGAACACCTCTGCCTACCCATCAATGATTGGTTGATAGATCGCACATATGTGGAGCAGAAGGGGTGGGCGTTACCCTGGTGCAAATCATGCCACACTGCTTTCCCCCCCCGCAAAATTACTGAAACCATAGAGCACGTATTCATGCAGTGCCAAGGGCAGTTCTCACATGGCGATGGTGTGATAGGATTTAGGCCCTGTTGGGTACTGATTCCAACTGGCCATGGGATTGGAGGGTCATATTATGCGAGGCATGGTCCTCCCCCACTAACAATTCTTTTGAAAACAACATGTTCAAGTTAGGAAGGAGAGCGGTCATGTGGACCCTATGGAGGAAACGATGTATACATGCTATGGAGGGTGCCTGCATAACTGGGGAAGAGGCAACGGACATGATAAGGCAATACATTTAACAAGAACTCATGGTACAATGGCAACAAATTAAAAACCAACTCGATTCATATCATTCAACAAAGGACATAACACAAGCAATTCACCGATTCTCTGGAGACTGGTTGGGCAAGGGCAGTGAGAAAGGGGGCTAGATCACATCTGTCGGATGGGAAGGAAAGCCCGCGCAGGAAGGCAACCAGGAGGAGTTCAGGAGAGACTACCGTATCTGCTTCAGAGACTGGACTACTGTGGGCCAGGAGATCCCACTGCGACCAGCCACAAAATTTCCCGACCCTTTCCCGCCCCACCAATTGGCAATGGTGGATATGCAATGGCACGGAGCAGACTAAACGGGTGATACAGGGCAGATACAGAGCAAACTGAGAACTGGTATTCAGAGGAACAGGAGGCAGCCGCTAGGGTAATATGTGTGATCTGGCGGTGTGGTGCAGACTGAAGAGGCGGCCCTTGGTTTGTCCAATGCAACCATCTCTATTTCTCTTAGATTGGAGAGTTACCCTCAGGTCTAGTTCTCAGCATAGGGAGACCAACCAACAGGTGTAGGATAATAGACAGAGATGGGACGCCCGACCCGGTTTCCAGCACACGTGTTCTTCCGCAACTCATCTCAATGATCTCATGTTTTTCTTAAGAGGGACGCTGGACCCGGTTTCCAGCAGGTGATGCTCCCCACCAATGGATGGAGCAGTCTGTCGACAAAACCCCAATCCCGGTGGTTCTCTTACCACCACTGGGATAGAGGCCTTGCACAAGGACCTTAAAAAGAAGGAAAAAAAAAGGAAACATCTCTCCCCCCTGCTGCACCTCCCTATCCAATCCCTACTCTTGTCCTCCCATCTCCCCAAATCCCATTTATTAACCCCTGTCATGACGTACCGCCTTCCATACTCCCAGGTACAGCTCGCAGTCCCTTAATTTCCCAGGAACAGCAAGCGCAGAAAAGAACCTTGATCTCTTTATTCCCGGGTTTACGGTGATCACCACTTCATCCTCGAGCAGAGGCGGGAGGCAGGGGAAAAGCAACATGGGCATCAACATCAACGAGCTCCCCATAAGAGGTGAAACACTCACCATTAGCGCCATGTTGTTCCCTTCCCCTCTGCTCGATCGGCAACTTGCAATCTGCTTTCCTTCCTCCATCCGTGGCGCTGATTTCTCCTGCTGCTCGTTCTTGATAGTGGCTCCTGCCACCGTCCACCGAGAAGGAAGTAAACGCTGTGCAGCATCGTCCTCAGCCTATAATTGTTGTTGCGATTTCGCCTGAACAGATTCATGCTGTGTCTTTTTTTCTTTTTTCTTTTTTTAACAAAACACGGCCCCATGTGCTACTGGGGCTGGTACGAGCAGACACTGCTAGCACCTGGGGGGAGGCTCCATCTATTGGTGGGGAGCAACACCTGCTGGAAAACGGGTCCATCGTCCCAGACAAAATTCAGAACATATCAGAACAACACAGATGCGGGATATTCCTGCCAGCATTGATTACCCTGGGATCCAGGGGATTGACTGAGCAGGATGATGTGGTGGTGGTGGTGGGGGGGGGGTTGGAGCCTCTTCATCCTGAACCAGGCGCCAGATACCTGCTGCTACACACTGTTCCCTCCCACCCCTTACTTTTGCGATACCCTTTATTGATGCTGCTGACCTGCTCATACCGCTCCGTACCATTGCATGTCCACTATGGTCAGTTGATGGGTAGGGAAGGGATCGAGGAAAGTCCGAGGGCGGCCGCAACGGGATCCTTTGATCCACCGTTGTCCAATCTCTGAAGCAGATGTGATAGTCTCTCTTGATCGTCCCCTGGTTGCCTTCCTCGATACCTTCGTTACCTTCGTGGGTGTGTCTTAGCTCTCTTCAACTGTCTTTCTTTAATGCCCTGCTCGTTCATCACAGTGGATCCAGCCACTCGCATCACAGGGGAGAATACATTGTAAGTAGTCACTAGTTGCTGTAACTGCACATCCTCCCATTGTGCTCCAGGACCTTTGTGCTGTGCGCGCTGTGCCTAATCATCAGCACACTGTACCTCCTCTCCTTGCACAGCGTATCGTCTATCTCACGCTGATTTATCTCACCCGCTCCTGCCCCCAACTTCACAGAGAGGGAGTTGTGGATAGCCCCCAGATCATTAATCATCATCACTCCAGTCGACTGCTTCCCTTGGGAACGTTGTGACTGTACAGGAGCTGCCTCGAGCATTATGGCCTCACCGAACTTTTGTAGATGTCGATTTCGTTGCTGGTCACGGAGGTGGCAGCGCCGAGGTGTATCTTCAGCGCCCCCTGGATCAGTATCTCCAGCAACCCCGTCTCGCTGGATGCCTCCCTCCTCGTCATCTTTGTTGTTTCCAAATATCACCGGCTGGGCGCACGTAGCGCGATCGCCACTCTCCAGATTGGAAGGAGTGTGACCTGCCGTTCCAGCAGAGCCCGTGGTACAAGAGCCTCCTTCAATTGCTGTCCGAGACTGTGAGAAAACTTGCACGCAGCTCCTGAAGCATAAAAAGGCACTCCTGCAAATCGGCTGCCACCTGTACGTCATCAGTGCTGTCCAGTTGTTGTGAAGAATGTGGAAGACTGTACGAAACCAGTTCAGCCTCCCATTCATCGAAGAATGCATCACCCTCCAGCGGAGATTCAAAAATGGCAGCTTCCCTCGTGCATAATCCATCATCTGTAGCATATCTGCCAGCTGGCTTTTATAGAGAGCCACCATCACCGTTGTTGGAATCGTTTCCACCAATAATTTGTCGTGCTCAACATAGGGCCGCAGAGCAGGAGGGATGTCGTAGAGCCGGCCGCAGAGCAGGAGGGATGTTCTAGAGCCCCTTGCCATCTCCGAAGTCGCGCCCCATCGTCCCTTAGTTTGCCCTTGCACACACCGCTCCACGAACCACTCCTGCCCAACCCTACCGTCTTCCCCCGAACACAACGCACCCTTATTTTGGCTGTATCTGGCCGGAAATATAGCTTCTATACATTCATTTTTAGGGTGCGTTATGTTCGGGGGAAGACGGTAGTAACTCCCCTCCCCACCCAACTTGCGCCAGTCAATGGGCTCCGCGTTGCTCACCACGTGGCAAGGAGACAGTCGGGTGTGAAAGGCCACGTCAGCTGAATGTGTCGCCCTCACATTGCTCACCACGTGGCAAGCAGACGGTCAGGTGTGAAAGGCCACGTCAGCTGAATGCATCGCCCTTCCCTGACGTGTCACACGGGGATCAGGCCGGACCCCGCCGGCCGGTCCCCTGCAAGGTACCAGAGCGCACAGGGCGCGGGGCACGTCCTCTTTGGCAATGATTTCATCAAGGTAGAAAGTCAAGCTTCTTCAATTCTATTATTTAATATGTAACACCGATTGAGGCTCCATCCACAACAAACTCACATCATGATGCTCGCATACACACATGCAATTATGAAGCAGACTGGGAGGAGGCGGCAATTCCACACCAAACCAGAGAGATGTGTACACAGCGGAAAAGCCCAATCTACAAAAATTAGAATTGAATTAAAAAATGATAAAAATGATAAAAATCCAATAATTCTGATTCCCTCTTCCTCCCCCTGTTCCAAAAATCAACAAGCGTATTCCGACAACGGTTACCTCAAACAAATTGAAAAAAAAAAAGTTTCACTGAAATAGTTGGGGTCTTCTTCTTCCCCCATTCATCATCATCCGCAGGGCTAGCTAGCTATGGTGTGTCCAGCGCTGTCCCCAACGGTGCTCGATCGGCCCCAGCTATGGCTGCCAAGCTGCGAGGAAGAAGATGATGCGTCACCAAAGAACAAACTTAGCAGCTGCGCTTCGCCTGTCCACTCCAAACAGAGACGAAACGAAAAAGCGAAAACAACCTGACTCAATTCACCTCCAAGCTATTTCTAGACTTCGGGACCCTAAACCCTACGACCTAGGACCCAGGAACAGACAAAGCTGGCCCACCCGAGCGGGCCCACCCGAGTTCCAGTGGTACCAGTCCAGCGACTCCAGGCTGTCACGGTAAACAGTAACGGGGACCTGAAAATTTATTATTTACAGAGAAGTCCCCGTGGGGACTGGGCCCTCTAGCAGTAACGGGGACCTGAAAATTTAGTATTTACAGAGAAGTCCCCGTGGGGACTGGGCCCTTTACGGGGACCTGAAAATTTGGTATTTACAGAGAAGTCCCTGTGGGGACTGGGCCCTTTAGCAGTAATGGGCAAGGTCCTAAAACTTCAGAAAATGACAAGGATGGACCTAGTACCTACTCTTGTTTACAGCTCGTTGAGAAAATGTGAGAGTTCATTGCAAATGTCTAATAGGATGAAATGAAAGAAAACAGGTTAAAAAAAGATCAAATTTGAAAAAGATCCAGTCTGCAATTTTTCAATTTTAGACATAGGACACAAAAATTGTCAGGAAGTCCAAAAAGTGGACTATGTACACTGCGTACTCTGCACTCAAAATGTCGACTATCCCCTCCTTTCCCCCGTTGCGAATGTGCTTTTTCCTCTCTCTCTCTCTCTCTGTGTGTGTGTGTGTGTGTGTGTGTATCCTCTGCACATGCCCCTGTGTACGGTGATTCCCTCTATTAAGTAGTATTAACCTTTTTTTTTTTTTTTTTTTTTTGAGGCTGCTACAACTTCTCGACCGGATCTCAAGTTGTCACTGGCATACAGATTTTCTACCTTCACAGCAGCCGGGGAAAGAAGAAAAGAAATAAAAATGAAAGGAAAAAATAGTGCTACTGAAAAAAAAGGGGGAAAAAAATGCTACTGGAAATGGCAGCATCAGTGCAACGGCCGCAACGAGACCTGAACATCTACTCAAGCGAAGAGGGAAAACAATTGCCAAAAAGGATGGGGGTTGGGGGGGGGTGGGGAGACGCTAGGCTCCAGCAATGAGTGAAGGCATCTGTCTACTCATCTCCTCTCCCACCTCTCTTGTGCCTTTCATGTCTTCTCTGTCTATTTATCTCTCTTGTATTTATCTACCACAAGATGTACAACACAAATCCTTGTCGTCAGTTTTTACTCGGTAGTTTTTCGGACTTTTTCCTATTTAGCCTCGTAAAGGCTATCTATCTCGTCTTTTTTTTTTTTTTTTTTTTTTTTTTTTTTTT